TATGTGTGTGTATGTACTACGTGGCTGGTGTAGTAAAAACTAAGTTGAGAGTATGGGATACATATATATACTACATGGCTGGTACAGTAAAAACCAGGCTGAGAGTGCTGAATACATCGATTATTGTATATACTACATACTACATGGCTGGCACAGTAAAAACCAGGCTGAGAGTGCCGGATACATTGATTATTGTATATACTAAATACTACATGGCTGGTATAGTAAAAAATAAGTTGATATGATAGGTTATATTGAGAGCGAGTGAATACTACATAGTCAAGCAATTGTGCTGCGTACACACCCGGACTAGGCCAATAATAGAGTGATATAACAAGAGCTTTCGCTTTCTATGAACATATATTTGGTAATCAAAGTTGAATACGTAGATGCATACATCTTTATGACTACACTCATAGACATATGCGTAGGCACATACTTATTTATAAAAACACGTATAGAATAATACGTAGATATATACACCTTTACAGAAGTATAGAAACGCTCATAGAATATATGAGATTATACTCCTAAAAAAGAAAACTCATCAATATATATAGAGATCCGCATATGCACACACGCTTCAGAATCCTATTCCAACCCCACTAAAACTCGCAAATTTGAGTCATTCTTTCTGTTTTTAGGTCACGGTCATGGTACAGACCCAAATAATTGACTCTACACAAAAACACAGACCCAAATAATTGGCTCTACACAAAAGCACAAGACCACATAAATGAACAACTGGCTCATACACAAGCGTATAGTGACAACACGCACACGCATACGCTCACACAGTCACAGTCACGTATTTGAAAACCAGTTCAAAACGTCTATTCCCAAATACTAGAACCTTGGACTAAATTGGTCCTATTTCAAAACTAGGTTTGAACTATGTCCCTATACATACCCCTCGTCACGCATGTTCGAGTCCCTCTTTCCAGGTTCGGGGTGCAAGTCAAACCAGACATCGTGTAGCTTTCCATCGCGCAGCATCTCAATGGGAATCTGCACCTCACCGATATGATCGTCACTAGTCGCTGTATCATAATCGTACACTGTATTGTATAGAGACGATAGTGTTAACACAATATAACATACTAACGTATATATATAGGTATCTACATATATGTATTTATCTCTATTTATCGATACATCGATATATACGTGTGTTGTAAATATACATAAATACATAGATACATAA